GGAGAGTAGACTAATATGTAAAAACATTTATGTTTCTATAAATTTCAAAATAAATTAGGGAATTTAAAATATTTTTAACAGCAAGTCTGAGAAAATTTCTAACTTAACTGAAAGACATTTAAAAAAATCTAAATAAGCCAGTTTTCTTAATGGAAATAATCAGTGTTGTAAAGATGTTAATTCTTTCAAATTTATAACTTCTCCCCAATTTATCTACAAGTTTAAGGCAATTCTAATCAAAATCAGTTCTTCAGAATTGATAGCTTTCCCTAAAATTAATTTGCACCATCAAAGGGTCAAGTATAGTCAAATGATTTCTGAATAATTTGGAAAAAAAGACATGCCGTGAAAGCACCCCCAACCAGTTATCAAAAAGCTTATCTTGGCCTTTGCAGACTATAAGTGATGTCTTGGAGCCTGTTGTCAGTGGTGGCTGACATCTCCCAGATAAAGTACTTTGTGATATAAAAGCTCTCATCAAGCCAGACTTAAGTCAAAGGTTGAAAGTTTTCTGTCATAAGCAGAAGCAAAATAAGGGACAAAAAAAGTGGGGGTGGGGTGTGTATGGATCCCATGAAAATAGAAGGTAGATCAGGGGAGTAGAGAAAGGAAATAGGGAAGGAGGAAAGACAGAAAAGGCAAGTTTTTTAGAATGAAATTGACCAAATTGTGCTATCTACATATATGAATATATCACAGAGAATTTCTCCTGTACGTATATCTATAGGGCATCAATTAAAAAAAAAACCAGCAACAATGAATAAATAGAAGTAAGACTAGCAGAGTAGAGGACGGGGAACAGGAGAGGGAAGAGAAGAAGGGAAAAAGAAAGTTACTAGGACCTGAAATGGAGCAAATTATATTCCCTGCAGGCACGATTATGTCAGAATGAACCACATTATTATTTATCAACTATAAAGCACTAATAAAAAGTACTCATCAAATGCAACTAGAAAATGGAAAAGAAAATACAGGGGCTGGGATCCTGGCTCAGTGGCAGAGCACTTGCCTCCCAAGTATGAGGCACTGGGTTCGATCCTCAGCACCACATAAAAATAGATAAAATGAAGGTATTGTGTCCATTTACAACTAAAAAAAAATTGAAAGAAAAAAAGAAAGAAAATACAACAAAACACGGTTTAAGAGCATCAGAAATTTGTTGTAGCAACAGGCCTGAAATTTCAGAGTAGGAGATCTGTACAGAGATGAGATGGTATGATGAAAGGCAACTTTCTCCTTGGGACCCTCTTGATTCTGGGCCTAGGTTTAAGGCTGAAAATCTGAACTTTGTGTGGGGAGGCCAATTTTTGGAAACAGAGAAATTAGCAGTATTTTGGGTTTCTGCTTGCAGGCCTAAACAGATAAAAGCTCAGAGAACTGAGGGGTCAAGGGCCAGATGGGAAGAGGAGATGAGGGAAATGAGCCAAAGGGATACCCATTTGTACTTATTTGTTTAATTTGGAGGGTGTGAGGAGCAAGAGGCTGAAAGAGTCTGGAAAGCAAAGCAGAGTTTTCAGCAATCTTATAATCCTTCAATAGGATTAGAGTCCAGAACCCACTGGAGAGGGAGCATGGGTGAAACCCACCAGCTGGTTGTCAGAAATGAGTGGAAGTTTACACTCCTGGAGCAGGGACAGCAGAGGCAGTCTAAATTAAGCCTTCCATAAATTCTAACTGGGCAGTAACTAAGTTTCGTTTGGACCAAGACAACCCTGAATCTTGTCTACTCAGCAAAGAAAAATGTAGAAACTTCTATATTTTTGTCATGTGTTATATGCTTAATGAAAAAAAATCACAAGGTGTGGACAATGTTTGTTATCGACTTTTGTCAAACACATGTCTCCAAAACTTAATGTCTTAGAACCAAAACAATTTATTATCGTTTCTCACAATCATTTGGATTGGTTGGTTCACTCTGCTAGGTATTTCTTTTGCTATGCTGTGCATGATCAGGGGCCAACATGGGGGCTGTGTTTACATATAGCACAGCTGGGGTTGAAACAGCAATATAGCCTCTCCTCCTCTGAGACCTTTCTCAAAATTGCCTTTCCAGCAAGAGAACACGCATTTCTTTACATGTTTGGGAAGAGGAGGGTGGGGACCATGTGGTACAGAAGTAGATTTTTCTTTCATTGTAATGAGGGATTTAATACAAGAACTAATTTGATTTGATTTTCTTTATATAAAACAGGGTAAGGGGTGGGAACAGCCAAATCTGTCAGATCTCTTAAAGGCTAGGCTCAGAGCTGATACAGGTCCTTATTCCAGAGGACAAAAAAAAGCTTCTGCTTTGGAGGTAAAGGATTATTGATGATCATCTCCAAAGACAGTTTGCCGCCAGGAGAAAACCATACAATCTGGCCATAAGAAACAGATCTACAGTGATCTGGATAATGGAGTTTTATATAGAAGTTGGTGTAGCCCCCTGCCCAGCACCGGCTACTGAACCAGGGTCACTCCAGTGAATTTGGTGTCACATGAAATGACCACGCAGACACACAAAATACCTTTCAGTGGGTGTTCAGGACGGCTTCCCCGCCCCCAGCCGCAAGCTCCCACAAGGGGGGGGGGCAAGAGAACCCCTTCCCAGGAGGCTGGTGCCAGAGAGGGAGTAAGCCCTGAAGCTTGGCTTTTATGGGGGAACTATTCAATGGAACATTCTGTCCAAATTAGGCGGAGGGGTAGTATTACAAAGGAACAAGGAGGCAGCCCACTTCCAGTGTGTAACTCCCATTCCCGAAGCGGCACCTTTCTGAGCAGAGATAAGTCCACATGCATTGCAATAGGTGGAATGCCACTCCGGTACCTCCTTGCTCAAGACTTAAAGGTGTGTGCATAGATCCTGTTCAGGGTGGCTCCCAGCAAGCTGGAATATTTGAAGGTGGTGATAATGGAGCTTAGTGTCTGTTTCAAGGAGAAGATAAAAAAAAAAAAAAATATGAGAGCAGAGAAGAGGCACGGGCCAGATCACGCTTGGACTTGTTGGTCATGTGGTACAAAATTAGATTTTTCTTTCATTGTAATGAGGGATTTAAGACAAGAACTAATTTGATTTGATTTTCTTTGTATAAAACTGTTTGTAGTAAAGGAAGAAGTGGGTGACTATGTTACTTTTAGCAAGAAACAACAGTGACTTGAATACTGGGCAGGAAATGGGAGTGAATAAATGCATGTATCTAGTCCACATTCCATCGACTAGGAAGCATTAGTTTGCAAACAGGAAGTAAACAGTCAATTTATTTTAAAAATGGCTTCCAATTAAATCTGAAATTAGAAGGAACTCACTTCTAGTACATTCTTTAATTGAAGTATGATTTGAATGTAAAAAAACCTCATATCTTATGATAGGAAAGACTGATGTATCATTAAAAGTGCACTTTCCGAGGTAACCACAGCATAGGTCCAAGGAAATCTTTTTGATGTCCTCTTCCAATCACTAATTCTTTCCTCTCCAAATGTGTATGTACCCACTATACCAACTTTAAAATAGATTAATTTTGCCTGATTTTAGATTTCATATGGAATAATATGCATTCCTTGTGTTTGTCTTCTTTCATATATATATACATAATATATATTACATATATAAAATAAATATAGATGATACTATATATAATATCTATATATTACATATCTGTTTTATATGTAGAATATTTACATATTCTAAATATATATAGTCTTTATATATTATATATAATCTCTTTATATATGTTAAATATATATATCTTTATATTTATCTCTTTCTCCACCAAGAACTTACATATATACCCTTAAAAGGATATTTGTTTTGAGAATCAAAAACTTCACGATGGAAGAGAAACACATGATTTTTAAGTCAAAATTAAGGACATTGATTAGTGTTTACTTCTGAATGAGTCACTATTCTGATAAGTTAGAGAAGGGGTATGAAAGCAAATGCAAATAAACATTTTAGCCAATACTTGAGTGCAGTAGAAAACCAGATCACAGTAGTAACTCATTTCTTTCTGTCCATTAGCTTGAGAGGAAGAATAATCAGTGAAGAAGGGAGGGATCATCAGAATTTAAATATAATTTTTTATGATGATTGATTTCTATTACTTTATAGAAACAATCAAATATCATCCATAAATTATAAATTGTAAGGATGACATTTTGAAATGTAATGAATTTTTGGAAACATTAGTGTTTAAATAGAATATGACTGAGACAGGACGACAGACCACACCAGGCAGCCAGGAAATGGGTCTTGGTAAAGAAAAGGAGAAAGAGAAGATTGAGAAATCAAGCACCTGGCCCCAGATGGTCCTATCCACAAGGATGGTCCCTTAATAGCCCCTAACCACAACTAACAGCAAAATATTCCCTAAAAAGTACTTCCTCTTACAAGACCTCCCCCTCTTCTTGTGCTGATTATGCTTAGAAAAGCTTCTCCAGATTTGCTAAGGAAGAAAAAAAAAAAAAGGGAAGAGAAGGGGAGGAGAGGGTAGGGGAGAGTTTATTGACTTCTTCTTTCCTCCCTTCCTTCCTCTCTTTCTTCCTCCCTTCCTTCTTCCTTTCTTTCTTTGAACTCAGGGTCCTTTAACCACCGAGCTACCTTTTAATTTTTTAAAAAAGTTCAGACACAGTCTAGCTAAGCTGCTTAGGGCCTTGCTAAATGGGAGAGGCTGGCTTTAAACTTTCGATCCTCCTGTCTCAGCCTCCCAAGCCACTGTGATTATAAGCCTGCAGCACAGCACCTGGCTGATTGGCCCCTTTCTAAATTGTATTTGTAGGTATTGTCCTACCAATCAACTATGAGGAAAAATCAAGCCCACAAAAACCCCTAGACAGAAGACAGGGAACGCTTCCTAGGAACCTCTCCCATGCTTTGGGAGCCCTTCTCTTTTTCTGTTTTAAATAAATCTTATTATTCTACCCTTTGCTTATCCCTGGATCTCATTCCTTGAATTCATGAGGCAAAGGACCCATCCTATTGCCCAGGTCCACGCTACATTATGACTTTTATTATTAATGCTTACGGCACAGCTTATTGACGCATTTCTCTCCTTCAGCACACATGGAGCAGGGTTCTCCTTTGGTGTAAGGGGACACATTTACAAAATTTCCTCTGAAAAAGAGAAAAAAAATTGTTACCCTAATGGCAATTATTTTTCAAATTTTGTGCATTTGAAAAAGTTGTTCTGGTCACTCACTAAATCATAAATGTTGAAAAGGGAAAAATAGCAACCAATTTTTGTCCCACTTTATACTAATTTCTTTTATAAAAGGAAACTATTAAAACTGTCCTTTATAGGTTATTCCTAAACATAAAACACAAATTGGACTGAACCCAATTATCAGCATGTTATAGTCACAATTTTTTAATAGTCACCATGATTACTTCTTCCTTTGTAAATGGAATAAATTTAAATTGTAAATGAGAACACACTATATGGCTTTACTTAAAAGTACAATGGTGGGGGGCTGGGGTTGTGGCTCAGAAGTAGAGCACTCATCTGGCGTGCATGAGGCACTGGGTTTGATCCTCAGTACCATGTAAAGTAAAATAAAGACATTTTGTTTACCTATGACTAAAATACATACATATATATATAAAGCAATACCATAGTCATCTAGTTCTACTTGTTAATGTTATCAAGAAGACTTCACAGCTTTTATGCCAGATTTTTGATAATATAAGCCAATGCATTTTAACAAATGTCTTTTTAAAAAAAATCTTCGAGTACTTTGGAGACTTTGAAAAGTATTATTTACCCAGAATACACAAAGAAAAACATAGTAATACAAGTACTTTCCATTAAGGAATATGCCACAATTTATCCTTTCTACCACTGATGGACATTTGGGTTGTTCAAATTTGTGGCTATTTCAAATAAAGTTGCTTTGAACATTTCAATCATTCATGCACAAATCCTTAAATATAATACCCATAAAAAAGGTGTGAGAATTCTGGGTCCTTCTTATCCTCCTCAGTACTTGGAATGTCCCGTCTCTAGCCATTCTAATAGTTGTACCTTAGTATTCGTTGTGATTTTACTTTTCCATAGCAATTAAAAGTGTTGAGCATTTTGCAGGTGACTTATATACCACCTGTATGTCTTTTGCTCATTTTTCAAAATTGAATTTTCTTAATATTGGACTATGAGAGTTCTTTTTATGTTATAAATATAAGTCCTTATTTGACACATGTTTTATGGGCTTTCTGTTAGTCTGTTGGTTGTCATTTTCATTCCTTTAACAAATGTCTCTGAATAGCAAATATTTTAAACAAATTTAACCAATTGTATAATTTCTGCTTTTTAACTAGAGAAGTTATACCATTAACATTTGAGATGATTGTTGAGGTAGTTAGGTTTAAGTCTATTACCTTCTTGCTTATTTTATTGTCTCATATGTTCTCTGTTCTCCCATTCTCTTTTTCTGCCTTCCTTTGTGTTAATCAAATACTTAAAAATTTTTTTTTTTTTTGTAGTTGTAGATGGACAGATGTGATGCTGAGGATCAAACCCAGTGCCTCATGCATGCTAGGCAAGCGCTCTGCCACTGAGCTACAGCCCCAGCCCTTAATCAAAATATTTGTAAGACTTCATTTAAACTACTTCGTTGGCTTATCTGCTATTATTCTTTGTTTTGTTTTTCTTTTTCTTTTTTTTAGTTTTTGTGGTGACTTTAGGGTTTATAGTATATGTCTTTTACTTTTCATAGTCAAGTTAAATTATTCCAATTCATAAGGAGTAGAACTTTAGGGTAGAAAAGAACCTTGTCTTTTCAACTCAGACATGATAGTTTTCTGTTTTTAGTATCTTATCTGCTTAGTTTTTGAAAATAAGGGATATGATAATAACAATTTTGTCTTATTTATACTCTAAATCTCTGTTAGTTCTGCTTTAATTTCAATTTCCACTGATTATCCTCCTTGTACTAAGTCTAATTTTCCTGCTTCTTTGCATGCCTGGTGATATTTAATTAGATGCCCCACACTGTTAAGTGTTAGTTCCTGTATATCATGTTTTCTATAAATCATCAATCTTTTTATTCTGGGGTGCACTTAATTGGGAACTTTTGGATTCTTTCAGGTTTTATTGTGAATTGATAGGGAGATTGGAGCAGTCTGCTTTGCTCCCTGTATGAGTGCCAGAATGGTTCCCACTAATTATTTACTGGGTTCTTCATCAGTTTCTTCACAAACATATGCTAATCAGTATATGCTGAGTGTTCAGTGTGTGTGTTCTCTTTTCTCTAATATGTTTACCCATGAACTCTAGCAGTATTAATTTCCCTGCACTCTTCGCTGTTTTTTCAACTGGAATCTAACAACCTCTGTCTCTTTCTCGGACTCCATGTGCCAATCTTTTGTTGTATGATAGGCAATGACTTCAAAATTGTCACTTCATGTATTTTGTCTGTTGTTGTTTCAGGGTTAGAGTTGATTCTATTACTTGGCCAGGAGTAATGTAACAACATCCTCCGAATATTACCACAAGACCAATAAGAAATCTGTTATGAACATATTTGTTTGGATCCAAAAACTTAATTTGTTCAAAGCAACATTATGCTATTTAGCTTTTTTTAAAAATCAAATACTGAGCACTAATCTCCTATTATTTTTATATTTTTTTTCAAATTCAGTGATTAGTCTCCTTAAGAGAAAATATTGATTATTATAATTTCTTTGATATCTATAAAATTCTAATTTCTTTGATATCTACAAAATTGTTCTCTGCCCCCAAATTTAACTCAATATACTTATCATTCTTGCTTTTATTTCTAAGTGGGAGGCAGTAGAAGAAAATACAAAGAGACAGAAACATAATCTTTCCATAGTATTTTTGGCATATCCTACCCCCTTTTTGCCAACTCTGTATGTTTATTCTTTGTCTACACTTTTACCTTTTGTACATTTTGCTTTAAAGGTTTTGTTTGTTGAAGAACTCTGTTATTAACTTTTTATATTCCTTATACAGATCCATAGGGATTAAAGTCTAATTTCATTTTTGGAGCTTCCCATTATGTTTATGTTATAGGGCCTCTTAGGTAAGGTATTATCAGGAGGGTATTAAAAAGCATGTTGCTCTTTTCTCAGAAAAATGTGCTTTTGCCATTATTCTCAATCATTTTCTCATTACAATTATGTTAATATTATATTAGAGAATCATCTGCCAACCATTTTGCATTCCAGCATTTAGATATTACTGGGCAACTTATTTCATATTACTTAAGAAACAGTTGCCATTATTCACTCTCAAGCTCAAACATTTCATAATAAACACAGTTCTACTTTATACAAGAGAATGTTCTGCTACTACTTTTTGTTTTCACCTACCTTGTTTTATTAGTATTTTAGAAGGAGACTTTACTTATCAAAAAATACTTGTTTCTAATATAAGATTCTCTTTTTGTAAACACTTATTAACATTTATTTCAATATAAACATTTTATATAGAAAAATAACTTACGCAGGTCCATAGTTACACACAAATATTGAAGTTTTAGATGTGCCAAGATTAGGACATATTGAAACTGCACAACCAACTTTATATGATTTAGCCCAAACTACCTATAAGGAAAGGAAAAGAATTATAAAGTAACATATTCAAAATAATTCTATTCAAACAATGCATTATGGGAGTAGACATATCTTTATTATGCTATTGAAAAGATATACATGCATATATTTTGACTATATTTTTTCTAATATTTTAAGTGATTATTTTGCTTCTCTGAGGAAAAATGTACTTATTAGTACATTTAGAATTTTGCAGTTTTAAGCATATTCTTTATATGGATTAAAAACATGTAATTAATAATTAATTATTTTGGTGCCAGGGATTGAACTCAGGGGCACTTGACCACTGAGCCATATCCCCAGCCCTATTCTGTATTTTATTTAGAGTGTGGCTTAGTGCCTCGCCATTGCTGAGGTTGGCTTTGAATTTGCAATCCCCCTGGCTCAGCCTCCGGAGCTGCTGGGATTACAGGTGTGCACCATTGCTCCCGGCCATGATCTTATTTTTTAAAAAAGTTTGCCATATGTATGGTGAATCATTTTTATATAGTTGTAAGGAATAGCAAACATTTCTAAATAAGAAGCTATCTATGGAAAACAAACCATGAAGAGTAATAAAAAATGTGAAGAACATCATTATCATTTCTAACAATGGGAGAGTAGAATTGTCTCCATTTTATAAGTGGAGAAAAAGGAGGAAATGCTTAATTTACTCCACTTGCAAAGCAAAATAATTCCAGGAAAATTTTTGACAACACAAGTGAGTTTTCCAACTTTGACAATTCCATTAAGAAAATACTACTATTTCATAAAATGATATATCAGCAACCTTTTTTATGACTGCCATATAATCAAAATTTAATTTGAAAAGTACATTTTAGTGGTTCTATATTTTTGGGACATCACAGTGGCATAAAATGCCAGGTGCTCTGAGGATTAAGAGATGAATTATGCTTCTCATTGTGTGTGTAGCTGGAGGTGACTGATCTGAGATTGCCTCGCTTAATAAGATTGAGCAGATTATTCAAAAAATGCTTTTGAATATTATGAAAAGCTAATAAACTATACAACTGAAAGTGTACATAATTTTTAAGAAATCATGTTTACAATTTGCTTCACTGAAAACTGCATCATAAAATTTTATTGGCTTAATATATTTAAATTGTGATTTAAATAGTGATTTATTTTGTGTGTTTTTTAGCTTTGGCAAGGGTGAAAATAAATATTGGCTTTGTTCAGTTTAAAAATGTATGGCTTTCATGAAATACACTAGATATAACATTAATATATATATTAGATATAACATCAATATGAATATTAGTGAGTGGTAAATACAAAACATTTTGTTTAGAACACTGCTCAAGATATAGTGGTTCAATCAAGTCGAAGGATGTATATATTCCTAATTTTATTTAAACTATATGTAAATTATCCAATGAAGAATTAGCTTCTATTTTTTATGTAATAATGCTAAGGAAGAAGCAATGTTTGAAAACAGCTCCCTTTTTCCTTACAACAAAAGGCAAAGAACTGATACAGGCCATTAGTATCATGTATCATGACCCATCTTTGATACCATATTCGGGATATTACATCTTACTTGTTATAAGGAAACCTGACCATTCTCTCAGTTTTCCCAATAGTAGCCAAACCATATTCTTTACCAGCAACATCTGTTCTGATGTCCTGGAGGGTTTCCAGACTTAGAGGAACATCCTGTTGTTGAACAAAGAGTAAACAGAAGGGGAACATGGAAACTGCTAATTTCCTTGTACACTGAACCTCTGATAAATTATTTTCTTGAAAACCCTACATATTAATTCAACCTATACAGATAGGTAAGTTTAGAGATGAAAGTTAGCTCTTTCTATTGCTTGAACAGGTCATCCCGGGAGGTCAATACTATACCTAGAAATTAAGCTTGGCTCAAAAATGCTTCCCACTTCTGATCAAAAAGAAGTAACAGGGAAAAGATTTGCACACCTACCTCAAACCTCCAAAGTAATTGAAAATATTAAATATTGGTTTTCAAGATATTGGACATTAGGCAACAAAAGTAATACACTGAGAGTCTGCAGGAGAAAATGTGACCCATACAGTTGTCCCAGCTTATTGCCTTGAGAGAGTTTCTAGACCATGACTCAGAAAAAGCTTGAAGGATTCTTGAGGAGGTCTGAAGTGAGAATCCAACGAGTCCAAATAGGCAGGAGATTAGGGAATATAGTATTGGAGAGATGAAGAATTTATACATTGACACACTGTTGTGGATTGTGAAGGGTCCTCATCATCTATTCAGCAGAATACTAAACAGCATGCATGTCAGGAAGTTGCTCTAAGCCTGGCAAAAATAATAATAATAATAATAATAAAATAAAATACCTGTAAGAACTAGAAAAAAACAATACCAAGGTTTACCCTGGGCCAGGAACAGGATCCACCTCACTCTCCAGACTGGAAAAATGTCATAATTCTCAGGGTGTTATGTAGAGTATTCAGAAGAATACTTCAGTACTGAGATTATATCAGCCCTAGACTAAACACTGCTTTCATTCTACCTAATATATTTTAAAAGTAGGAACCAACAGCTTCAAATAAATTTCAGGTAACTTCACTGTATCCCTGGAGATACCAAAAGAGTATGTACAGGTATACAAATAAATTCAATAACCAACAAGGGGAATTTGCAATTTTCTAAATATAATAGTATCTACACAATGTGATAAGCAAAAGGAAAATCGATCCATCATGAATGGAAAAAGTCAATCCATGGATACTAACATATAGCTAATATGTATATACTAGAAGAATCAGGAGAAACAATCAAATGACAATTATAACTATACTTCATATGCTTAAAAAGCTAGTTGAAAGATAAAATGCAGTTGGTATATTTATTGAACTCATGAGAAACCCACAGTCACACTTCTAGAGATAAAAACTTTAATGTCTAAGATTGAAAAAAAAGCTAAATGGAATTAACTGGAGAATAAATAGTGTTGAAGAAAAGGTTAGCAAATTTAAAGACAGCAGTAAAACTATCTGAAATTAATCAGAGAAATGTCTTCAAGAAATAACAAGAGCACCAAAAAACTGGGACAATTTCAACTGGTCTTCTACATGGACAACTGGACACTGGGAAAAGAGGAGAGAGTGAGAGAAATATTTTCAAAAACAATGGCCAACACTTTTTCAAATTTGGTTCAAACTATAGACATAGAGCTCCAAGGTCATTGAACTACAACAGAGGAAACACAAAGAAAATTATGTACATTATTATTGGCTGCTCAAGACTTATAATAAAAGCAAAAAATTTTTAAAGCAGACAGCCAGACATTTACATGCAGAAGAAGAGGATTACAGTAGATTTTTTGTTGGAAACAATACAAATAAAATGACAGTGAAGTATGATTTTTTTTTAAGTTTAGAAAAAAAACACACCTTACTCTACACAGAGGTCTATACCCAATTAAAATATGTCCCAAATGAAGGTGAATTTTCCTGAAACTCAAAAAATATTTTTTTATGACAATTGTAACACACATAAATAAGAACTAGTCAGTGCTGCCAAATATTACCTGTGTATAATGGCCACAAACTTTAGAACAAGCTTTAGTATCAAAGTCATAAAATGCAGTTTCATTATACCAAGCAGTGATAGAAGATTTTGGTGAAAAGTATGGAAATCCGCCTAACCAAATGTTTTCTCCAACAAATTGAAAGTCTTCAGTGCATTTATATGGTTTTGATAAACAACTTCTATGTTCAAATTTACATTCGGTTGTCCACTCTTTAGCCAGCTTTGCCAAGCTTTCATCCCAAAACTGAAAAACAAAAATGGTGTAAGTTGAATTCTGCATACCTTTTACTTAATTGTTTTGTTTGCAATCAATTACATTTTGTTTACTTTAATACAACTATAGTTTTTCTTTGGTATTTATTATGTTTAAAGTTAGTCATGTCTTTTTAGATCTACTTCAGAAATACACACTTAATACTCACTCTGGAAGTTCATCTTTGTATTTCTGATACCTGATGGATGGCCTGGTACTTAGACACACTCAACCAATATTCTGAATGTGATTAAACTAAGTTGTAGTTCAAAATTTAGTAATTCAGAAGGTTATGCAAATTTATTATGAGTAAAGGATAAATTTCTTAATGATTTTTTAAATTCACACATATTAATCGTACATATTAGTGGGATTTCCTTCCTCAGTGTTAGCTGTGGAAGTGTGTAGGGCCCTAGTTACCAAACCTTGCTTCCATAGCACCTTCCATACCTGCTGAGTCCTTCTTAGAGTTAGCATATGGTTTGTCTTTCTTCCCTACCCTGCAAACTTCTTTTGAATTTGCATTTTGTTAACACACAATAATTATACTTGATAATGGGGTACAATATATTTCTATACATGTATACAGCAAGTATGGATATAATCCAACACCCTTTTATTTCCCTTGCCCCCAATTTCGCAATCTCTAATAATTAATAACATATTCTGCAGCAGAATACAATAGGCACTAGCATTGCTGTATGCATTTACGTGGCTGTATAACCAATGTGATCCTGCAATCTGTACACGTGGAAAAATAAGAATTCATACCCCATTTGAATCAAATGTATGATATGTCAAGATCATTGTATTGTCATGAGCAACCGATAAAAAATAACATATTCTACTATAAATTCAGCTTTTTGCAATCTTCCACATGATACAGAATATGAGGTACTTGTCTATCTGAACATCTCCAGTTCCATTCATTTTGCAGAGTATTTCAAAATTTTGTTCTTCTTTATGACTGAATAATACTCCATTGTGTATACCTCCCACATTTTCTTTATCTATTCATATGTTGATGGGCACTAGGCTGATTATATTTCTTAGCTATTGTGACTAGTAGCACAATAAACTCAGGTATGCAGTTTTTTTATATGCTGATTTAATTTCCTTTGGATATATACCTAGAAGTGGGATAGCTGGATAATATAGTACATCTGCTTTTAGTTTTCTGAGAAAACTTCATACTGTTCTCCATAATGACTGGACTGATTTACATTTCTACCAACAGTGTATCAGTGTATAAATGTTCCTTTTCTCCACATTCTTGTCCTCCTTTTTTAAAAAAAATAATGCTAATTCTAACTGGGGTGGGATGGTATCTCATTATAGTTTTGATTTGCATTTTCCTGGTGGCTAATGATAATGAGATTTTTTTACCATTTGTTTGCTGACCATTTGTATTATTATTATTATTATTTTTTTAAGAAGTGTCTATTCAGACCATTAGCCCATTTTTAAATTGGACTATTTTTGTTAAGGTTTTTTTTTTGAGTTCTTTATATATTGTGGTTATTAACCCTCTACTTGGTAAATATTTTCTCATATATTGTAGAATGTCTCTTGACTCTGTTGATGATTTCTTTAGATGGATATGAACATTTTAATTTAACCTATCTATCCATTTTGTTGTTGTACTTATGCATTTGGAGGTCTATCAGAAAATTCCTGCCTGTACCAAAGTCTTGAAATGTTTCCCTATTGTCTTCTAACAGGCTCAGAATTTAAGATCTCATATTTTAGATGTGTGGTCCATTTTGAGTTGATTTTGCAGAGTGAAGATAGTGGTCAAGCTTCAGTCTTCTACGTGTGAATAATCACTTTCCCCAGCACCATTTATTAAAGGTGTCTTTCCTCCAAAGTATAATTTTGGTACCTTTGTTGACAAACAGTTGGCAATAGATGTGTGGGTTTATTTCTGGATTCTGTATTTTTGCCCAATTGGCCTTTGTATCTATTTTTTTTTATGCCAATACCATGCTTGATTTGTCTGTAGAATGTTTTAAAATCAAAATCAAATATTGGGATGCCTCCAGCTTTGCCCTTTTATTTCAGACTGCTTTGGTTATGTTGGGTCTTTTGTCCTTCCATATATATTTTATGATTGCTTTTCTAGTTCTGTGAGGAATGTCATGGGTTTTTTTGTTTGTTTGTTGTACCAGGGTTGAACCGAGGGGCACTTAGCCACATCTCCAGCCCTTTTTAAATTTTGAGACAGGATCTTGCAAAGCTGCTTAGGGTCTTGCTAAGTTGCTGAGGCTGGTTTTGAACTTGTGATCCTCCAACTTCAGCCTCCTGAGCTGCTGGGATTACAGGCATGTGCCACCGCACCTGGCTATCATATTATATTGAATCTGTAGATCACTTTGGGTAGATGGACATTTTAACAATATTAATTCTTCCAATCCATGAACATGGAAGATCTTTTCTTTTTAGTGTGTGTGTGTGTGTGTGTGTGTGTGTGTGTGTGTGTGTATTCCTCAATTTCTTTCACCAGAATTTTAGAATTTTCATTGTAGGGGTCTTTTACTTCCTTGGTTAAGTTTCTTGCTAAGTAATTTTTGGATGTGTGGCTATTGTAAATGGGACTGCCTTCATAATTTATTACTGAGCAAATTTGTTATTGGTGTATAGAAAAATCTAATGATTTTTTTGTGTTGACTTGAATCCTGCTACTTTAATGCATTTGTTTAATTATTAGTTCTAATAGCTTTTCAGCGGAGTCCTTAGGTGTTTTTTTTTTTTATGTATAGAATAGTATCATCTGCAAACAGGAGTAATTTGATTTCCTTCTTTTTACTATCTATATGCCTTGCATTTCTTTCTCTTGCCTAAATGCTCTAGCTAAAGCTTCTAGTACTATATTGAATTAGAGTAGTGAAAGTAGATACCATTGTCTTATACCTAGGCTTAGAGGAAATGCTTTCATTTTATTACAATTCAGTGTGATGTTGGCTGTGGATTTGTCATGTACAGCCTTTATTATGTTGAGGTATGATCCTTCTATAACTAATTCTCAGGACTCTTATGAAGGGATGTTGAATTTCATCGTATGCTCATTTCTGCATCTATTGAGTGAGCATACACTCTTTATCATTCATTTGTTGATGTGATTTACATTTACTGAATTTCAAATACTGACTTGTGTATGTTGCAAAAGATGCAAACCATCTTTGCATCCCTAGATTGAAACAAACTTAATCTTGGTATATGATCTTTTTACGTGCTATTGTACTTGATTTGCTAGTATTTTGCTGAGGAGGCACCTGCCTCTGGGTGCTATGTAGGCCATAAGTTTTCTCCTTCCAATTCCTTCAGGTGCAGTGCTCACAGGAGTGAATTAGGGTGGAACATGGCCAGAGCCAGGCAAAGTTTCTCTTCAGATCCCCTTTGGTCATATGTCCTGGGCCAGGGTAATAACTAAAGCTGTGGTTTTGCTCAAGGCTGCCTTAACTTGGCATGCTAGCATTGAATCCACAGAGCTCTTTCCCGACCCTGTTCATTACAGGTACCTGTGTTTGGTACTTGTGCAGGGGTGGCAGGAAGCAGGTAGGTGACTCAGTTGTGGCATCAGTATGAATCTGAATGTAACCTGCCATGCCCCTAGTCTCAGAGGGCAAGCTCCAGAAGCTCCTGGTTCTTGTGTGTGGGTGGCTCCCTTCTCCTCCAAATCCATGTGTTGATTCCATACTGTGCAGGCCACATGGCAGGTTAGGTCAGAGCCCTTCTTGTGAGTGGGCCAAATTTGGTTTGGAAGGCAGCTACAGAGTGCAGTGGAATATCTCTAGGGTCCTGGAAATATGACCAGAGGTTTCTGACTCCTAGTCCAGTCCAAATTCAGACAATAGGTCCCTTCTCAAGATGGGTCCTGGCTTCAGCATCTTGGGGATTTACTGGAGATGATGGGAGATCTTTTTACAAAGCCAGACTTCGGTGCAGATTTCAAGTTATTTACTTAAGGAGGCTGAAAGCCTGTGGGGATTGTGAAGCTTTCCAATAGCTAGGATTGCCAGCAACCATACATACTGACGGGGCTGGCTGAGACTTTCACCCTCACTCCTGCAGAATGAAGACCCATTCCATGCAGGCTCTGGAGCCAGGGTATTTTGTTTCCCCTACTATGCTGTTTTAGTGGGTCTCTGACTCTTAATAAGGCTCAAGTTTCTCTCTCATTTCCAACATTCTCCCATGGTCACGCACCGTAAAATGGAGCTACATACCTCTTACTTCAGTTTTTCTTTGTGAAACAATGAGTGAGTTCTGGGTACCTCTATTAAGGCATCTTGAAATTCTTACATTGGCTTTAAATAGTCAACAATATGAAGGCGATATAAAGAAAACTTAAAATATTTAACCCCACATCTAGTCTGTTTGGGACTCTCCTCTTAGGTCTGGGTTTCCTTTTGGGATTGTTTTCCTTAAAGCTTAAAATCTTTCTCTAGTTCTTCTTACAGAGCTGTTCTGCTTTTGAATTGAATTTTCATATTCAGTATTTTATTTGCCTGTAAATAGCTTTATTTTACTTTTTTTTTTTTTGGAACTGGGGATTAATCACTGAACCACATCCCCAGCCCCCCTTTTTTAATGTTATCTAGAGACAGAGTCTAGCTGACAACTCAGCTAGAGTTGCTTAGTGCCTAGCTGAGTTGTTTAGTGCCTCCCTAAGTTGCTGAGGCTGGCTTTGAACTTGCAATCCTTCCACCTCAGCCTCTGGAGCCACTGGGATTACAGGTATGCGTCACTGTTACCTGCTTTTGTTTTTGAAGAATACTTTCAGTGGGCAAGTAGTCATATGTTGAAAATGTTTTTAGCCTTCTATTTTTTTTTCAGTCCCTTCTGACCTTTATAGGCTAAAATTCTATTGTCTTTTGAGTTCAATTTTGCAGGAAGAGAATTCAGCCTTATATTTAAATTTTACAAAATGAAATATTTATTTTATCCCATTCTGGTTGCTTTCAAGATTTCCTGTCTTTTATTTTCACCAGTTTGACTCTCGTGTGACTAGCTGTTATGCTTAGATGATTGAGTTTTGAGACACTGGATCTGTGACTTGATGTCTTCCCATAAATTTTGGAAAGTTGTTGCTGATTATTTCTTCAAATACTTCTTCTGTCCCTTTCAAATATGTGTATGTTAAATCATCTGAATTTGTTCCAGAGGTCTCCAGCATTCTGTTATTTCTACTGTTGCTATTGGGTTGTTTTTTTCTCTGTGCTTCAGTGTGAGTAATTTCTAATAATTTATCTTTGAGTTTACCAATAATTTCTTATGCTATGTCCAGTCTTCTTGTAAATCCACCCAATGAATACTTCATTTCAGGGACTGTGTGTGTGTCACACACACACACACACACACACACACACACACACACACACAAGTTCTTTAACATACTCTGTCTACTAATTAAAAATTCTGGGTAATTTTTTGTTCTAGTTCAATTGGTAGTTTAGCATGATTTACCTCTACCGGCTTTTAAATATTTTTTTCTGGATTTTGATTGTATGCCAGAAACTAATAATTTTCCTTTCAAAGTTTGGTCCTTTAGTTTGCCCATGTTAAGAGTAGCTATGGTTAGAAGTTTATTTGCTTAGTCTAATGTGTGATTGTTCTCAGTTGGCACTGAACGTTACTTTTAGTTAAGCTCTTATTTCAAGAATTTTGAAGGTGCAGTAAGATGCATCCTTTTGGGCTTTAAGTGTAGCAGGGCTTTGTTAAAGCACTCTGCTTTGGATGCCTAAATCCAGCTTTCTAACACTGGCACTTATTTCTCTCTCTCAAAAAAAAAAAAAAAGGCATAAAGAATTGAAGAATTATTGTGGTTGGGTGTCTTCTAGGTTTCAGTCCTCCATAATAGCCACACAGCCATTACAAGATGCCAGTTTTCCATTAACTTCACCACCTTGCTTGGCTTATGGCAGGTTTGGTTTTTCTACCTACCAATGCCTCATGCCTCCATAACTTTCCCAGTGACAAAAACAAAGATACATGCTGTATTCTAGTAAGGGCCACCTTTCTCTTAAAGGTAGTTCATTTAATCATTTTGCATCCATAGTTCTTCAATGCAGTTAAAGATAATAACTTTTATTTTTCCCTTTTTACTTTCTGTAGTATTCCCTCATTGTTATAGTAAGACTAATAGTACTTAGTAAACTTCATCCTAATAAGAGTCCTTTATCTTTTTACTATGAATTAATTAATCTTTGGGTCTTCCTTTCTTTCTGATAAGTTATTAGTGTTCTGGATTCATCATTTGCATGTTTTCTGCCTTACCCTTACATTCAGCCATTTTTTTCCAAGGATATCATCCATTATTATGAAAATATTTTGCTATGAATTCTCATTGCTAATGGATATCATTGCTTGTATACTTCTTCAATGATAAGGTTAAGGTATAACTATTTAAATAAGAAATCATGAATTCATGCTGTGATTTTCACTCTAAAGATTACAGTGTTTTAATTTCTTTGACTATATGCTTGTATCTACTTTTTTATGCAGAAAGTCTTAATTCCTATAAATTATAAAATTTTGCTTCGTCATACAATATGCAATTGAATTCTTTCAAAAGACTTCACAAAAATCACACTAGCATTAACATTTCTCAATTCAGGTTTTTTTGTTGCTAATTTTTTCCTCAAAGTTCATTGTACTAGAAATGTACAGTTGAAATAATATATTGCAGAAATGCTTATAAAATTTTTAAAAGTGTAGATTGGAGGCCAATTTTATATATTAGTTTTTTTTTAAGTTTGTGTCTAAGGGATATTTTTCCTTTTGTTTAAAATACAAAAAGGACATAATAATTTTACATATTTACTGAGTCAAATTATAAAACAAGATACATTTAAAGAAGACTCAAATTTTATTCATGTCTCTTCACCTTATTCCTTCTTTTCCTCTCTTCTACCTACACAAATATAAATCACATAGCATTTTTATAGCAAAAAATAGTCTTTTAGTGAGGGTTGTCTAAATAAACATAGAAGAAATACTACAAGCAAATAACATACTCCTGACTACCCCAATCAGTTGGAGATTAAACTAAACATTACACATGAAAATACTTTAAAAATTTTGCATTCTTAAAGTGGTCAGTTTGTTTTTGTCTGACTTTCAAAACTCTATTTAAAATTTCCTTCACTCAAAAAAAAAAAAAAAACAAAACCTCTCACTGTCCTATATAGTATATTATAGTTCTGAACTTTAGTGCCTGAGCTATGATTTTATAATAGCATCCATTGTATTTTCTTTTTTGAAAAATTTTTAATTTTACTTTCTTCCGGATAGAAAAAAAAGAAAACTGGCTGCACATTTTGGTGGATGCTCATAATGCTAATGGCTGAGGAGGAGATTGAGGCAGAAGGGCAGGGTAGTGGCTCACTTGTTGAACACCACTGGGTTCAGTCCTTGGTACCAAAAAACAACAAAGCAAAACCCCTGGAATAAATTTGAGTTATAATTTACATAACATGGTAAGAGAGATTAATACTAACCACATTTATACATTTATGTTCATTGTGGTGGTATTAAGCAAGAAAAAGTTACAATGCAAAGGAAATTCCAAGTAATACATGGTCAAGAATTTGTTAAAAATGGGTAAAATCTATGATTATTTTAACAACATAATGTTCTCTTTGCTTTTTCTTCCATACAGAACTCTTTTTCCCTTTGTTGGCCCTACTGTGGAGGTCTAAGAAAGATACAACCAGTGCAATGTTTGGGGGATTAAATTTCACAAATTTATTTATTTTTTTTCATGAAAATCACCATCTGATACTGTTCAAGAGCTGATTTTCACATCCTTGTAGAACATTTTATTTTTCAAATGAATACTACACCACTGTGTTGTTTTAAACTTGGGTTTGTAAAATATAAAATTATGAGAGAATTCCCATCACTCTACTGTATGTATCTTTTATATGTAGAATCTTGAATGTGCAGGATGGGAGCACCATCCAATAGAAGAGAGAAAAACAAAAGAACCAAACAAAAACACCCTTGCAAAATAAGGACGAACCTTAGCGGTGAAGACCATGCAACTTCCAAACACCTTCTGCTCCCCACCCCCCCACCCCCCACTGCCCCCAGGGAGCTTACGTCTAGGTAAAAGGAACAGAAAGAACAGCTCCCATCTCCTCCACTCCATCACAACCCTAGCGGAGACAGCCCAGCCAAGGTGTGAGTTTTCTATAAACCACAAGTGGAGTCCTGGCTGTATTGAGATAAGTCCACGAAACGTATGGCCCGGATACCTTGGGATGAACAAGAAGAATAGGAGACCAGCTCTGGTTCTTTTCTCACCATGTGTTTCATGTCGGCCGCCGGGGGGTTGACGCTGCCCCTCAGTTCGTTGTGGGCCTGGAGGCACTCGTCTATAAATTGTGAGTCTGTGATGGACGGGACTTTGTCGGCCACTACACATAGACTTAAGGTCCACAAACTAATAAGATTTTTAAGAGCCATGGAGGGACAAACACCATGTCCCAACCGCACCAACCAGTAACGGCTGGGGAAGCTGGATTTCTGCCAACCCAGGGACCACGCTCTCGCCGGACTCCATCCTCTGCACGAGCTCGAGCTGGCGCAGAAGCCCCGCTCATTGGGCAAAGCCCTCGGGGCAGGGCGGGCTCGCGGCAGGATCCCCCCCCCCCAAGTCTAAGTTTTAACTCTCCCAAGAGCTTTCTGAGGCTCTGATCATCTTGAGTCACTGCCTGGATTGTAGTACAGTTGCAACACGGAGGCGGCACCACATTATACAAAGAACAAGGTGTATTGGACGCTGACAAAGGATCAGTCCTGTGGAAAACCCTGGGCATTAGTTTTACAGACTCAGCTTCTGGGTATAGCATTCGTATTGTTTTAAATAAACTACTGCAGAACTTTGACCCCTGCCTCAGAGACTGGGGATTAAAGTAGGCGATTTGTAAACTCGCCGTCATACTGTGATCCAAAGTTATTACCTTGCTAAACATTTAAACATTTGATTTGCTGCTGCCTTCTCCTCTTCCTCTTTCCTCTCCGCCCTACCCCTTTCTCCTTCCTTCCTTCCTTCCTTCCTTCCTTCCTTCCTTCCTTCC